AGGTTTCTGACAGGTTCCACTGACCGAAGGTACGAAAGTGTAGAAGGCCTTTACGAGACCCTTTAGTTTGTATGATTACAAGCGACTACCGTTCGAATGGAAAATTTTTTCCCCATGGTTTCAGTAAATGATTACAACAGTTTTGAACGAATACATTGGAATTTTCTGCATTGTGTACATCGATGATGTCATAATTTACTCCAAATCAGAAAAGGAGCTGGTGCAGCATCCGTTTGAAGTGCTGCCAGCACACAGTGAGGCCCGTCTCACACTCAACTTTAAAAAGAGTGAGTTTCTCCCGGGCGAGGACATCTTTCTGGCCTGGTATTTGATGGTACCATGAAGATTACTAAGTAGGAATTCGTAATAGATTTTTGAAAATGGTCAGACCTTACAACGTGCATGCTCTCAGAGTTTTCTTTTTTTATTCGACGGATACTTGCAAGCATTTATTAAGGACTACGCGCTGAAAACGATGTGCCTCACCAGATTGATGTAAAAGTTTCTCGAATTTGAGCGGAGTGACGAATGTGAGGCGGCATTTCGCAGCTTAGCTCAGATAATTTCTTCTGACCCGGTTGTATGTTTACGTGATTTCCATCTTCCTTTTGAGCGGAACATCAACGCTTCTCATTGCGGTGCAAGAGCTGTCCTATATTTGTCGGATATCACACAACAAGGTCATTGGCTATAGCAGGTGCAACTCTTCAAAGCCGGAAATAAACTATACGACTACGAGAAGAAGGCCCTAGCGGTTTTGATAGATTTAAAGTGCTTCCGATCGTACCTAGAGGGAACAATATTTAAGTTGTTCACAGACCACCAAGCCCTCACACACCTGCTCAACATGGCTCAGCCTGAAGGACGATTAGCACGGTGGATCAACGAACTCCAACAGTTTTACCTTGAGATATTCCACTGAACCCGGGTCTACTCGAGGGACGTATACTTTGTCTATGGTGTTAATCACAAAATTTTGACAGCCCAGAAGCCATAAACCAGGAAAAACTCTAGGAAGGGAGTGAAACTTTGATATTCAAAGAGAAAAGGAACTACGTCTCCAGCACTCTTGTTCCCAAAGTACTGATGCTCTATCACCACAGCCTAGAGACGGGTGGTCAAGTCGGATATTGGAAAACCTCCAAAAAAACTTTCAAAGAGGTTTTCATGACTGAAGATGAAAAACGAGACCAAACAGTAGATAGAATTATGTCCTCACTGTGAAATTTATAAAGTTACGTTTAAGCAAACCGTGGCTGAGATGACATCGCCAAAGTACTCAAAAACACCATTCACGGTTGTCCATCTGGATTTTTGAGAGTTAAAGAAGAAAGTTGATGGAGTCAAAAAGACACAAGCCTCCTTGCTATGCATAGACAGATACACCAGGACAGTGGTTACAGAACCTGGAAAAGAGGACACAAAAGCTATAATTACCTTTGTAATTCCAGAAATCTTCAAGAACATCTGAATCATCGGTTGAACAACGATCCCGCCTTCCGAAGCAACAAGCTAAAAGTGTGGGCACAAGAGCATGGAATAATTTTTAAACTTTCTGCTCCATATCACCCCGCTTCAAGTGGCTTCGTTGAGCGCGCTATCAGAGACATAAAGCAATTCATCAACTTGTATAACGAATTTCCCGGCGTATGAAAATGCTGTCTCGAAGCAGCCGTTGCGTACCACAACCGATCTATTACAGCAGGCCTAGGTCGCTGACCACAATTTGCAGCGACTTTAGAAGTCGCATTTCTTCCAGCAGCTCGAGCATTGGGGTTGGTAAAGAATTTAAGACACAAGGAAAGGCTGAAGACAGAAGCTGAAAGAGAAAGTTACCGAAGCTCTATGAAATAAAACTTCAACAAACGTCACAACACCAACATTCCGAAGCTCGAGGTCAATGACCTTGTTCTTGTAAGACGAGAGTTAAGGGTCTGTTATACTCCGACGTAACGCGCGCGCAAGCGAACGCTGGCCGAAGTCGGCTACGTCACGTCAGTCACGCCGCGCGCGTCAAAAATTCGACCTCTCTATACTCCGGCGGCCCTGCCGTCTCCCGCGGCGCGCGTCGGTGGGTCGCCAGCGCGGCGCATGCGCAGAATCTGGCTACGAGGGCGCGCTTCCGGCGCTTCCTGCGAGAGTGCGCCGCTTCCGGTTCCTTTTCATTTCGAATAGCAGACGAGAATTCTCGCGCTTCTTGAGCGCCAAGTTCGCGCGATGGCGTGGACGTACCTTGCCCGACGAAAACTCGCGCTTGCACTGTTGGTGCACCGCCTGCGCCGCAAGCGTAGGCGGTCATGTACATACGGTACATCTTTGACAAGCGCACGGTCTACGGAACTCAAGCTTCCTCGTGTCGTAGACACACGGGTGAGGACGAATTCCCTCGATGAGCTTCTCCACGACCGAGTCGGATTCTTCGAACATGGCGCCACACGCAGTAGTGCTCGGAGCCAGCGCGTGATGCATTCTGGTCCGGCGTCGCCGGCGCGGCCGGCGCGGAATACGGCATGCTCCATTTTGGCGTCGAGGCGGTCAGACGGCGTCGAACGCCGCCGGTCGCGTCGGTTACGCCACGACGCCGGAGTATAGAGCGTCGGGTTTTCGCGGACGTGACGTCGCTGTGACGCGCTCGCGCGCGCGCACGCGTTGCGTCGGAGTATAACAGAGCCTTTACCCAGTAAAAGTAACGGTTTCGACTGACTATTTCGCTGTGTAAAAACTGCAAGGCAATAAGGGGTTCTAAAAACTATCTGTTACGTTGGCCCAAAAAATACCCTGGAAACCGCATCAATTGGAAACGTATTTCAATATTATCTCAGAATTAATCAGTCCAGAGCTAGGTAGAGTGAGGTGGACTCGGATGAGATAGACGACGACTCCGGGGGGGGGGGGGGGGGGGGGGGGGGGGAGGGGGGAGGGGAGGGAGGGGGACGGAGACAGGGTGGTACAGAATGGGGAGAAATAAATAGATGGCTTCTTCACTTCACTTCACTTTATTTCCTTAAAGGGGAGGGGGGGGGGGGTCTTTAAGGCTTCGATTGACCATTCCGCTTGCAACGCAATTCTAGGGATTATTACAAACATTCTGGGTTCTCTTCGACCTGCTATGTTCTAAAAAAATAGAAGATACAAATTGTATCATTGCACACATATTCCGAACTGTTGCAGACGGCATACCTCAGTCATTCCCTATGCGTTCACCGTCTACAGTAGGCATCTCGAGACGTCTGGAAGACAGGTTGTTGCCGTCACAAATATTTTAGAAACAGCCAAATGTTGGCAAACCTCTGCCGTAGTAAGTGTAGAATAAAGGCTTTGTATAGCCATATGTTTTAGATATTTCAGTCCCACATTCAATTTCAAACAATATTTTTTGTGGAACGAAATGTAATACCATGTAGTCGCCCCTAGCAACGCCCCTAGGAACTGTCTTTTTTAGCAATGACGTTACATTTACTGGGTCAATCGTAGAATTCGAACATACAACTAACATTTTTGTGTTCTCCACAGTGCGCCAATAATAACCTGCAAACAAAACGTTCATCAGCCTAACTATTAAATAGCTAAAAGCCGTCCGATCTGAAAATTGAGGCGGTCCTCAGCAATGCGGGAGAACCGGAGAGAGAGAGAGAAGGCGACGAGAGCGCGCGGCACGTCCGAACGCTCTGCTCTCGTAGAAATGATTAGTCGGTAGACCTAAAGCTAGCTACCTTTGTCTGTACCGCACGCGTTGAACGTGCTTAAATGCGAGAGCCAAACGCCGGAATCCGGCGTTCGCTGTTCTAAAGCATTCGACGAGTGCAGTGGAGACAACAACATCTATGTTTAGGTGTACTCACTAATTAATCCGACCAGAGATCGGCGTCCTGACGTCCCTGTGCGCTCCCGTCTGGTGCTTTCTCTCTCAGCTTTATACAGTTTGTTTGGCAAAACCACAGGCACTTCAGCGTTGATTTATTCGTTTTCGATGCTAGCAGCACTAAACAAACAAAAAAAATCTAAAAATTTGTTTTCGACAATGCCGTTCTCAGGCAACATTCAAAATTAGAGAATGTGCGCGTTGACGAGGTATATAAGCAAGTGCCTTTACTGGTTACGACGGAATATAAACATACAAGGAAAAATGTAACAGGTGAGCAGAAGCTGCTAGTACGCCAATAGTAGAAGAACTTGCACACCCTATAACGCCCAACGTGCGTGGTACCTTGCTCGTGAGTCTTATTGATTTCCTTAGTTCTCAGCGCAGATATACACTTTGTATTTTGTGTTGCAGATATCGTATCGGGTAAACAAATTAAAGAGGAGCTTGGAAAAGATTTTCTTGTGCAATGGACAGATATAACAACGCCTAGTTCAGTCCCTGCTCTCCTTTTCTTCAGGCATGCTGACCCATATGCTGTCCATTTGTTGCCCATAAGCTATTCGTATGCTCTCCACATATATCCATATAAATGTCGCTGTCGTTTGGGATAGTATGGGCGCTGCCGACGCAGATGTGTAACCCGGACGTGAAGCTAAGACCTATATTCTTTTCTACCCCTTCTCTTTCTTTTTATTGTTATGTCTTCCTCTCTCCCGCCCCTTCTTCTACTGGAAATTTGCCATGTCTTTTTATTCGTGTGTGTTCCTCCTTTAACAGTCAGTACTTCCTATCTGTCTTCCTTTGCCCTAGAAATAAACGCCAGTTGTCACTAGCGCTCTATCCTAGGTCTACATTCTTCCTCCCTTGTCTATGCGCTAATTAACCAAGCTGTTTAATCTATGTGCCTCGTGCGAATGGCTGCGAATCGACCGAATCGAACATCTCTAAGGCAGATTAAAATCTTGTCTTTTTGGAAACACTTCGCGTTCTAAAACCGAAGCCGCAAAATAGTAAATCATTAATATGAGCCCTCAGATATTTGCAGAAATTAGCTTATTCTATGCCTTATTGGCCGTTTCCATTGTAATATATTATATAACATCGAAACACCATAACTGCTTTCCATTTTTTCCAGTAACCTCTTGCAGGATTACATGGGCTGGATGTTGATACTGGATTACATTAAAACTGCCGGAGGAAAACTTCAGGTGTATTGGAAAACATTTAAAAACGAAGCAAAGTTCAGCCCTGAGAAACCAAAAGAATGGAAGGAACTCTGTTTGGACGCACTGGTAACAGAGGAAACAACAATGTATGCTCCTGCAGCTTACCTTTACTTACAAAGCTACTTTCCCCCGAACGAAAAACAACAAGTAAGATTTCATCACGTTTCTTATGAATCAGTCATCAATTTTATACATTCAGTAGCTTTAAAATAAAAACAATAACATGTGTGAGTTACGTACTTAATTTGGGAATATTCTGCTTCTAATATTTTTTATCGTGCAAGTACTCTTAAGCACGGCCACATTCCATGTTCTAATAGAAACTATACGGTAGAGTGTCACAAAATTCTTTACCTAATTAAAAACAGTGACAAAGGGGAGGTATAGATGATAAGAAGAACAATTATACTTGACCTCCCGTGACTGCACTGCTGCTCAGAATAACATGAACCGGTCAAGTACTGCAGAATATGTTATAGCGATAGTCTTAGAGTACCTTTCTAAATATTGACATGCCAGTTGCACAAGGAAAAAATATATGTGGGAAGCCGGAAATGCATTCAACGAGTACGACTTAGCTACTGGATGTGGGAAGTAAAAAAATGTCAGCCTTTTCACTCTGGTGAAGAAGGAAGACCAGCGAAGCTGTATTATGGTGGGAATGAAGTATTTATAAATGTAAACATTAAGGTGTGATTGGGTAATTGGTTATTTGAACGATTTAAGAATCAAACATATATATAACGATCCGGGTTGGAATTTATTTTTTTATCGCAGTGACCATGGCCTTGTGATCGGTGTGGTACACAGCCAGTGTCGAACCGAAATTTTATCGGTTCGGTTCCGGTTCGGGTTCACGAATTTCGGTTCAGCTCCGGTTCAGTTCCGGGGACCGAAAAATAACGGTTCGAACCGGTTTGAACCGGTTCGAACCGGTTCGAAGCGCTAAACTGAGAATATGTTTTCCGCGTTCCTTTGGCTATAGGCACTTTTCAGGAGTGAAACGAGTAACTATATACTTTCTTTTTTTCATTTGTTGAATGCACTTTTATTTCCAGGTACCAAAAATAAATTGCGTTGTTTCATTTGGATGAAACAGTAAATGATAAGCTAGATTAACATATACGACTGAACAACTATTTCTTTTTACCTCAGTCGTATATATTTCACCTGAATCTAAAGGTTATCAGTCTGGCGGGTCGCCTAAAATGCACGTGACTAGTAGACGATTGCGTCGCAATATTAAAAGTCGAGTCCTACTGTGCTCTTGTACTTAAAATATTAATTACAGTGCATACAATCATAAAATGGACACGTTCTCGCCATATATATATTCTGAAATCTGGATTATAAAATACGATTCAAAATATATATGATCACGATACAACTAAGTTAAAAGCAATAATATTTTCAAAATGTCAGGAAAGTTTTAGGACAAACCCTTGCAGTCTACTTTTTATAGACCACTAAGCGGCAAGCACAACGCTTGCTTTCCTGACTAATATTGTTTTCATTCAGCACCATGACGCACGCGAATAATTATGCAGAAAAGAGTGACCTTCGTATTCAGTACGGATCTGGCCTAAAAAAGAGCGCATTGAAGTGCATATTTTCGACATAACTCGGCGTTTGATGTTTGTTCTTGACAAGATGCCGGTCAATTTACTTTGTCAATAAGCATCACCCTTGCTACTCGGTGATTTGTTGTTTAATAGAACAAAGTAGTATTTCATAGTCTACCCGACATTACAGCTGCTTAATTGGTCACTTTCTGACGGTCTGCGTGCGCAATCGTCATAGTTCACCCACGCGCCACTGTGTGCTTTGTTTTCATCCAGCCCAGAGACACAAAAAATCGTTGTTCATCGAATAAAAGAAGCAACAGACTTCTATATGTTTGAGAAGTTGAATACTCGTCAGGAACACATGTTATTTAAATCAACTTGAAACTGAAAAAAAAATGGCTAAGTTTCTTTCAAATCCTCTCGAGGATAAAAATGCCGGAAAATATTTCCAGAGCATATTTCAGATAATGACTGGGTGCATTAACTTATGATGTGTATCTTTAGTGTGATCGTCCCTTTTGTCTATGTTGTCAAGTCTTCAGGTAGTATATAAATATTTGTTATTGTCATCAATCAATATGACTGTATGAATTTCACATAACCGCTTGAGACCGACACGGGAGGACAATACTCGAAAATAGCCATCCATTGAGTCTTCGGAACGCGCTTATTTGTTCACTGTTTGTCAGTGTGAAACACCGGGTTGCGGGGTAGGCCAAAAAGAACTGTGTGCTTACGTTATAGATTTGAAGGTAAATACACAAAATGGGCAGAAATAGAAATAATAAATGATATTCTTCTAAATAATGCCATTCAAGACGCCAATTACTGCAAGAAGAAATATATGGGAATGCATGTTTTAAACGTAAACATGTTTGATGGAACTTCGTCTGGTTGGGTCAAAAAGTTGAGAAATACAGACTTTCACAAACCAAGTCCTAAACATTTAGTGGCCCGACGTTTCAATTGGTCGAGCTCAATAGGTCGAAAGGCGCTTAACCCTCGGCGTGTGTCAACGGACTAGGGCACTTGAAGTAGAAGTGGGGGAATCGAACGACACACCGTAGATATAGGAGCTGCTGCTCTCCACGTGCAAATAGTCGTGCACTTGTTTTGGGGCCTAATTTTACAACTCCGTACTTTATCAGTCATGCGCGCTCTAACATTTTATCAGGCCGCAGAACATCATCGCGAGACTGCTATAGGAAGCATTCACTGGCGGCCATAGCTGTGTGCGCGACTGCTGAGCGCATGCTGATGGCTAGCTTCCAGGGTCCTTTTGCAACGTGCATTCCACACCGTTAAAATGGCCGGTCTTAGCAACCTATGAATGTGGGCTCGTTCTGAGCATGCGCTCTAGACAGCACCCACAAATATGGCGCCCAGTGAATACTCCTTATATATACTGCACAACTTTACAATTTGGACATCCCCTTTTGCTATATTTGTTTCAGCTTAAAAGGGCGATGCAACAATTTTTGTACTTTGCGCAAATACCGCTTAAAGGGGATCCCTGACGCGAATGACCTATGAAACACGCGTTCGGTTTTCACCCCATTCAATAGAAGTCCGAGAAAAAGAATAAAGAAAAACGAGCAGCGTTCACCCCCTCAACTCGCAGCCAGAACAAGCGACCACGTCATCTGGAGCTGATTATATGCCGCCAATGTTGATCATAGCCACGAGCTGGGGTTGGCAAAGCACAGGGCACGCGCTGAGTTTCAGACATTGTTATGGCTCGGCTGTTGTCGTCGTTGCTGCGATTGGGCACGGGCCACTACCCGAATGTTTCTCGAGCTAGTAATTATCACGAGCCCAAATTGAGTGCCCACGCAATGCTCGGGTCCAATCTATGAACAGCATTCGAATATCGTCATATGGATGTACTGCGATCCCCACGTTACGTTATCAAATTTTGCAAATGAGAGATTGAAGGAAAACGATCGATTTTGTCCTTGAAATTACATCCGCAAACAAAGGAGTTTCTTGGCCATTGGCGTTCCGTGTGAGTATCCTTGAGTCCCAGGTTTGCCAGTAAGCTCGTGTAAAGTGAAAAACATTCCAACTGAATATCGTTGCACCGCTCCTTTAAAGGGGCATTGCAAAGGAACGAAGAAAACCAAAAGCTGCTTCGAACGGCGTGCCTATCAGTGTCACACACGAATGTTCAGTGCCGACATTGGTCTAGAGCGTCGGATAATGATGACATAAAATTCTAGAGGTAGGACTGGCTGAATAGGCGCAAGGACCCTTTCTGATCCTTTCAAGCACGTGACTCTCACTCAAATATTTGCTTGTAACACTCGTAAATTGGTGGGGCGTTCACATCCTCATAACTGGATGTTGATTTCCAACACTTTGGAAGATCGCGTATGGTTGCTGCACGCTCTTGTCGCTTCGGTTCTCTACTGATTCAGACAAAAGACGTCATCAACAAAAGAAAATTTGCTCAAAATTCTAAATTTCTTTAACCTATTATGTTCAAAATATGCTAGATTTATTGTTTATTTTATGATTAATCTGTTGCTAGGGTCGCAGTCACTAATTCGAGCAAAAGCAATGCAAATTAAAAAAAAAAAAAAGAAAGGCCAGAAACGCATTGCATGGCCTCTTCTAGGGTGCCTTCATGTGCGCTTTGCTTACGGTGGAGACATCTCGCCATTTTGTTCCCCACTTTTATTTTTATATTTTGTTCAGAAGCGCGTGAAAGTGCGTGTCCCTGCACGCGTGTGTGGCGCTGACAGTCCTACGGCGACATTTTGTTTTCGTCGATTTCTTTGTATTTTCCCCATGAGCGTGTGCTGTCGGCATCGGGTACTACAAAGGGTGGCATCACTCTAAACAGAGAGACATTGAGGCACCCTAGCCTCTTCAAGTACAGATGCAGCCTATGCTACAAGCGCGAGCCTATGGTCCCGAGCACTCGCACTGGAGGAACGCGCGTGATTGGACACTGAAAGCCCAGAGTTCGCTTTTTTTAGCTTCTGGAATACTTACACTTAAAGTGGAACGGAGTATTGTGTTGAGAACATCACATTTCAACAAAATATTGGACTGTTTAACATGGTTTGCAGTTTGCTGAGAAAATCAAATTCCAAGGTGCAAGATGCACGCTGCAAAAGGTTCGCGCTCAGCTCAACCCATGTATTCAGAAATTTTTCTTGCATGACGCAGCGTAATGAGGGAGGCGCGAGCGTCTGGCACCCCGAAAACGCGCTTTCTGGCAGGAGTGATTTCGCAAACGAAGTAGTTTTGCAGGATCACGCTGTCTGCGCTGCGCCGAAGATGCGGACCAGAGGAACTTTCATAACACATAAGGTTTTTAACCCTCCCCCCCCCTTTTTTTTTTTTTTTAGTTGACGGTGTTTCTCTACAGAATACTTTTTAGTTTTGAGAGACTTACTCCTTTGTTTGGGGGTGCCAAATTGACAATTATATGCGTGTCATTTATTTTCAGTAAGTATCAATTTCTTTTATTTTGCACCCAAAAACTGTGAACATTAAACAAAACTCCGAGATTTTGAGCCACTGCCGACGTTCGACTGTCCCTCAAAGGCCACTAAAATCTTTTTTTTTTTTTTA